AATCCACTCACCTCAGCCTCCCAAAGGCACGGAATTATAGGCTGAGCCACTGAGCCCGGCTTTTTTTTTTTTTTTTAATTTTTGAGTTGAGGTCTCACTCTGTTGCACAGGATGGAAGGCAGTGGCACGATCACTGCTCACCCCAGCCTTGGCCTCCAGGACTCAGGTGATCCTCTTGCCTCAGCCTCCCAAGCAGCTGGGACCATCGTCATGCACCACCACGCCTAGCTAATATTTTTATTTTTTGTAGAGATGAAATCTCGATATGCTGTCCAGGCTGGTCTCAAACTCTCAAAGTGATCCTCCCACTTCGGCCTCCCAAAGTGCTGGGATCGTAGGCATGAGCCACCAGCTTCTTTCATTTTGAGTTTGTGTCTCTTCCCTCCAGCCAGGAGATGTTTTTTTTTTTTCCAAGGAAAGGATACTAACTACAGTTTTCATTTCCTTGTACAACTGCTTTCAAAGGCATGAGAAAGAAAACATCGAAAGCATTTACCACCTCATTTGTATGCTGGGTAAAAAAGCAGAAATGTGTATTCTCCTTTTCTGTTTCGATAACCTTGTATCTGACTTGTCATTCGTGACGTGAGAGACGGGAGGCCTAGAATTGATAAAAGCGTTTACTTTTTTTTCTTTCTTTTTGAGCTGAGGTATCTCGGTGTTGCCCAGGCTGGACTCGAACTCCTGGGCTCAAGTGATTGTCTTCCCAAAGTGCTGGGATTACAGACCTAAGCCACCATGGCCGACCATAATTAACAGAGATTTACTTTTAGACTATAAAGTACAGTTTCTTTAGAAAGTAAATTAGAGAGAAAGAGGAGATTCACCTTTCCAAAGTAGGGGAAGGAGCCAAAGCCAGGGAATACTGTCCAGCCATAGCTCAAAGAGCACATAGCCACACCATAGTTTAGCAAGGCAATGACCCAAGATTAAAAAAAAAATTTTTTTAGTAGTAGTCTCACTCTGTCTCCCAGGCTGGAGTGCAGTGGCACACTCATGGCTACCACAGCCTTGACTTGCTGGGATCAGGAGACCCTTCCACATCAGTCTTCCAAGTAGCTGGTACCATTGGCGTGTGCCACCACACCCGACTAATTTTTTGATTTATTATAGAGATGAGGTCTTGCCAAGTAACCCAGGCTGGTCTCAAACCTGTGGACTCAGGCAGTCCTCTTGCCTCTGCCTCCAAAAGTGCCAGGATTACAGGTGTGAGCTACTGCGCTCAGCCTCAGAGATTTTTTTTTTAGGGTGGTGCAGGGCTTACGTAATTTTA